CTGTCAGTTTCTCCCCCCTCCTGTCCATTTCCCCCCACCTGTCCATTCCCCCCTCCCCTGTCCATTCCCCCGTCCATTTCCCCTCCACTGTCCATTCCACCCCACCTGTCCGATTTCCCCCCTCCTGTCCATTCCCAGTCCATTTCCCCTCCTGTCCATTCCCCCATATCATTCCCCTGTCCATTCCCCCCATGTCAATTTCTCCCCCCCATGTCAATTTCTCCCCCTACCTCCCTGTAGCGTGGCCGAGCCCTCTATGCTTCTCCAGGGCTGCACCTATTCTGTGGAATTCCCTTCCCTCCTCAATCAGACTTTCACCCAGCCTCCATTCCTTCAAAAAATCTTTGAAAACTCACTTCTTCATTAAAGCGTATCAATTAAACTGTCAGCAGGTTTCTCATCCCCCAACCCATGACTCCGTTCCTTCACCTGTCAAAAATGACCTACCAAGCACTCAATAAACCCTTCTGTAACAAACTATTTAATTCCCCTACTTTAATCCTTTGTGTCACTATACCCCACTCCCTCTAGCATGTAAGCTCATCGAGAAGGGCCCTCAACCCCCTCTGTTCCTGTACGTCAGTGGTCTGATCTCAATTATGTGTCTGTTAGTCCACTCATTGTACAACGCTACGGAATTTGTTGGCGCTATATAAATAATAAACTAATAATAATAATAATAATAATGGTATGGTCCGCGGGTACAGGGAGCTTTTGTTTCCTGTACCCGGCTGGACTAACAGGAAGTGCACACTCAGTGTAGAACACTCAGTGTGCACTTCCTGTTAGTCCGGCCGGGTACAGGAGACAAAAGCTCCCTGTACCCGCGGACCATACCATAGAGGGCTCGGCCACGCTACAGGGAGGGAGTGACAGGAGGGAGCGCTGAGCGCTTCCCTCCTGTCAGCCCCTCTCCCCATGTTGCGCCCGGGCGGTGCGGTCCGCCCTCATAGACGCACCGCCCGGGCAAAGCTGCAGCCGCCTGAGGCTCTCTGCAGAGCGCTCGGGCGGCTGCAGCATGAGCGGGGCCGGCGCTCCTGGCGGCGCCCCCTCCCAAGGGGCGCCCTAGGCGGCTGCCTTGTCCGCCTTACAGGTAGCGCCGGCCCTGTGGGTGGGGCATTGTGATGTCACATGGGGGGGCAAACTTTACTTTCCAAGCTGTGGCGGTTCGTGGAGTCTGCAGTGGTTATGGTGTCTAGTGGAGTGCGTGGAGCCCTCGGGAAGCACTAGGAGCATCCGTCAAACGGAGGGGGTGCCAGGCGATCCGTTACACACATGCATAATTATTGTGAGTTTTATTGCTGTAGTGCTCTATGATATACACAGCCGTTACATGGCTGAAACAAAACATGTGTCCATCCAGTTCAGCCTTCCTCACATCTGGTTTTTGCTCTTGATACAAAAGAAGGCAAAAATGCAGATTTCAAAAACTTCCAAAAAAATTCCCTCTTGACCCCAGCATTGCAGTTAGATTTATCCTTGGATCAAGAAGCTTTACTCTACAGTTGAAAAATGTTATAATTGAATATTCTGTTTTTGCAAATATGCATCTAGTTGCTTGTAACGGATCACCTGGCACCATTGAAGGACGCTTCCTAGCTGACGCTGAGGACCATAAGCACCGCACTGGACACCACAACCACCGTAGCTTAACTGTAGTCTCACCGTCTTCTCTCTACCCCGGATCAACCTCTGACATCCAGGACCGTGTGGGAAAGACCTCTCCTCCAGGAGAGCGTATCAGGAACAGCTCTTAAAAGAGCTAAGTGATTAGAGCCCAGAGGAGTATACAAAGTATAGCAGTCCCCAGTGTGATTATAGCAGTTCCCAACAATAACGAGACAAGGCTACGTGTTGAGGGTTAAGCAGAACAGAATGAACTGAGGCTTTATTGTTTCTTTTATACAAGTTTTCCCCTCAGGTTACCACCCATGTGGACCTTGTTGGGCACCGAAAACACAAACTCAACAACCAATAGTTTACAGTCACACAGTTAAACACTCCCATTCATTACAGTAAATACCTCCCCTCTGCTTGGGAGATAATTGAGTTAATTGCTGTATAAACTCAATTATCTCCAAGCGAAAAATACACTTTTAAAATTTTTTTCACAACATTAGAATTAAACATCCAATTCCCATAAAACTTATATATTAACGGGTATAATTATGGGAACAACATATTAAAAAATCATGCGAATCAGTTCAGTGATTCGGGAGATAGATGGAAGTCACATTTGACCGACCGCAAGCATGGCTTTCCTGCCCAAATTAGTTCCACAGATTTAGGCTGTGCGGCCGGTCTATTCACCATAGTTCAAATATTGTTCAAATGCACGAACGGGGGCCATCCGTGCAAATAGGCAATGTTAATATGGTGTTCGTATTGTCGAACGCTGTACTACTCCCGTCGAAGTTCCAGAGAAGGTGAAAGTTCAGCGGTGTCCGATTTGAGTTCCATGAACTCGACGACCAAACATCGCTGAATGCGTGCGACTGAATTAAAATGGCCGCCGCCACGTGTTCGTATGTCGAATGGCGGCCACTTCGACTACTTTAGCACTTCAGCTGCATCCGAAGTGCCACTTCAAAAGTGCAGAACTGTACCAGTACCATTTAAAGGGGCAGAAACAGTGCTCCAAAACACAAAAGGCACAAATAGAGTTTTTAGAAGGGCAATATACCCCAGGAGCCATAGTCACAGGGCAAGTGGCTGGCAAGCAGGCCTCTCCAAAAGCTAGTGGCGAAGGGTAGTTCGTCACATTGCTGTTTGAACATCTGTATGGACTCTGTTAAAACCACTTCTTCAGGCAGAGAATTCCACATCCTTATTGTTTTTACGGTAAAAAAAAACTATTCTTTGCCTTAAATGAAATCTTCTTTCTTCTAGTCTAAATGCATGACCTTGTGTCCTATGTAAAGTGTGATTTGTGAATAGATTTCCACACAATGGTTTGTATTGGCCCCAGATATATTTGTATTATGTTATCATATCCCCTCTGAGGCAACGGTTTTCGAAACTAAAGAGGTTTAAGTTTGTAAATCTTTCTTTATAGCTAAAATGTTCCATTCCTTTTATACATTTTGTAGCTAGCCTCTGCACTTTTTTTACTACCATAATATCCTTCTTTAGAACAGGTGCCCAAAATTGCACAGTATATTCAAAAGCCTAGTTCAGAGTTGCTAGAGCAATTCACCATGAGGAGTGGGGAGAAGTAGACATAGGTGGACAGATAATGTATGTATATCATGAAGGCACTTGTAATGTTTAAAGCACATATCAGCCACTGCCCTAAAGAGGCAAAATGATATTCTCATCTCAAGTATTTATGCCCTTTTTCATGCATGACAAAACCTTACTGGTGTTAGCCACTGCTGATTGACATTGCACATTGTTTCATAGTTTGTTGTCTATAACAATTCCCAAATCCTTTTCGTGTGTTGTTATCCCTAATTCGCTTCCATTAAGGGTATACGTTGCTTGTGCATTCTTGACCTTGAAGTGCATAACTTTGCATTTTTCTACATTAAAGGATCACTATAGGGTCAGGAACACAAACATGTATTCCTGACCCTATAGTGTTAAAACCACCATCTAGCCCCCCTGGGCCCCTCCTGCCTCCACAAATATAGCAAAATCTTACTGTATTCAAGCCTGAAGCTGTAACTCTGCATGCTGTTAGACTCAGAAAAACAAGCAGTCTGCTGACATTGTTAGAAGTGGTGGCCTGATCCAATCACAGTGCTTCCCCATAGGATTGGCTGAGACTGACAAGGAGGCAGATCAGGGGCAGAGCCAGCACAATTCAAACACAGCCCTGGCCAATCAGCATCTCCTCATAGAGATGAATTGAATCAATGAATCTCTATGAGGAAAGTTCAGTGTCTGCATGCAGAGGGAGGAGATACTGAATGTTTGGATGCATTTTAGGCAGCCATGACCCAGGAAGGATCTCTAACAGCCATCTGAGGAGTGGCCAGTGAAGTTATCACTAGGCTGTAATATAAACACTGCATTTTCTCTGAAAAGACAGTGTTTACAGCAAAAAGCCTGAAGGTAATGATTCTACTCACCAGAACAAATTCAATAAGCTGTAGGTGTTCTGTGGACCATAGTGTCCCTTTAATTTTCATCTGCCATTTGAGTGCCCAGTCCCCCAGTATATGCAAATCCCTCTGCAGCAAAGTAATATACTGCTCGCATTGTATTACTTTACAGAGTTTTGGGTCATCTGCCAACACTGAAACATGACTTTCAATGCTTTTTTCAAGATCATTTATAAACATGTTAAATAGAAGGGGTCCCAGAACAGAACCCGTTATTATTGTGAGTTTTATTGTTGTGGAGCTCTGCCATATGCGCAGCCATAATTATTGTAAGTTTTATTGCTGTTGAGTTCTGTGATATATGCAGACATTATTACTGTTTTATTGCTGTAGAGCTCTGTGATACACATGTGATGGATGGAAATAAATGTATATAAAATGTCTATTTGTTATATGTACATGAATACTTATTCCTTACTCAAAATGACCACTAGGGCACCCCCTCCCATTGACCTAAACACTCGTGTAACAAGATGGCGCCGCCTCTATCTGTGACTACCCCCAAACTGACGACATCAACATTCCGGAAGAAGTACATGCAAAATAAGGACTTAATCAATCACAAGCTTACGACGAGAATTACGTAAATACCTACGAATCATGTTTGCACACAATGCATTATTTTGCCAATATAAGCGGCTGCCCCCGCCACATCAATAATGAATTGGAAGCTTCATTTATCTGAGCCTGGTGTCAGTGTGATTCTTCAGCGTGCACGCATCTCATTTTAAATCTGGACAGGGGCAGATACTCAGGCAGACACTTGATCTGATCCAAAACACTTTGACGCCCAACATGGGGCTCTGGGTTGTGACCCAACGGACAGCCAACCCAGAGGACGTCGAAGCAGACCTGCAGTGACGGGACGGAGACTGATCACCTCTGATATACGGTAATGACTGTGTTAGCATCTTGTCTATATATCCTGTCTCTGTAACCGGCCTGTCTCCGTGTCTGTGTCGGCTGCCGGAGGGCACCAAAGACAGGTAAATAACTTGCCCGGAGTCTCTTTGTATAAAACCTGTATATTGACTATCTGCCGCCTGGGTATGAGTGTATTTTGTATAAGGGAAGGATAGATTACGGGAGGGAATTTCACAGGGATAAATTGATGTGGTCAAACTTCTGCAAGGGTCCGTAGCATGGTAAAGCACGCGGCATTGCAGAGGGCGTCGGAAGCGCACAGAGTGCGGGGTCTGTGAAGGTATAGATATTTCGAGTCTATCCTTGCTCTTTAGATAAATACATGAAGGGTAATCTGGTTTAATTATATATGTTTTTCTTTGCAATAAGTGTAAGTTTGTGTCTTGTTTTCTTCCTCTTGTATACTTTGTTGAGAGAGGTGTTTGGTCACACACTATTCGCCCCGCTCCAGTCTGCGGCCACCTTGGGTGGACAGACCCAGTTACTAGTCTACGTTTTGGGAAGATGCACGCAGGGTAGCCTCCGTGGCAGTCGAGCACTGTAGACGTTCTCTTTCCTGTTTGTCTCTATCTTATAACATCTTGATTAGAGAGGATGGGATAGAAGTTAGAGAAACCCAGTAAGGGTAGTTTAGCATGTGATATAGTGAGAGAAAGAGAAGGCGAAGAGGCAGTAAGGAAGGCAAAGAAAGATATGTGGCATCAATATGAATGCCGTCGTACAGCTGCAGCCAGAGGACTGGCGCAGACAGCTGAAAGAAAAGAAAGGATTATTACAAGACAATAACCTAGTACAGACAGCAGAAGCCTAGTTCAGAGTTGCTAGAGCAATTCACCATGAGGGGTGGGGAGAAGTAGACATAGGTGGACAGATAATGTATGTATATCATGAAGGCACTTGTAATGTTTAAAGCACATATCAGCCACTGCCCTATGATGGCGCCTGGCACAAAGGGAAGGAATTGGCCCAGCCTCCGTGACCTCCCCCCTATTACCAGTATCGACACCCATCGCCCCTAAGGCCCACACCCAGCTCTACCCCGTCCTTTTGGCGGATGGAACATTCTTTTCCCCCGCCCCTGTTATGCCCGCCCTTATGGATGAACCCTTAGTGTCTGCTGGAGACCTGCCCCCCACTCTCACAATCCAAGCAGAAGTTCAGGTTCTGCCCACCCCCTCTCAACCCCTACGCCCTCTCCCTTCATACTTTACCAATGAAGCGCCACAGGCCCCTAGCTCCTTCGACAGTGTTAGTTCTCTTGGGTACCAGATTCCCTCTGATGGCTGTAGCCAACAAGGGGGTGATCCTCCGCAACGTGATGTAGGGAACCCCAGAGTCCAATTTCTAACGAAAGGGGCCCCCTTAATGTACGTCACATTCACCCCCCAAGCCTCATCCTTGGTGAATACTCTACCAGACCCAGAGAAACAACCTATGCCCTTTTTCCGAAGGGTAGTCCAAATCCAAAAGACCTATGCTGCTGCATGGCGTGATTTACTTAGTTGTGATTAGTTACAGTATCCCAGTGAGTTATATAAAATATATTAAACCTCACAGCAAACAGAAATATACATACAATGCGAGGTGGAGTATCTTTCTTGTTTTGATTCTAAATCAATTCTTGGACAGGTATTATCCTAAACAAAAAAATATAAAGAGACAGAAAATAGTGCAATATTGCCAGTCTTAAATAATAAAGTGCAAATAGTTGATGAAATAGCACTCACAAACGTAGAGTCAATAAATGTAGCTCACATTTCCAGCTTTGTGAGACATAAAGGTTCCCACTTCCTTCTTTCTGCTGATAGGAGATCTAAAGCAATGGAATATCCTCTCAATGGTAAGTTTTAAAGTGCTTTATTATAAAGTGCACAATCAAATAAAAAGAAATTATGAAATAAAAACCTTACAATTTGCAGGTAAGTCCTTTAGTAAAGTTCATAAGGTGCAAAAAGTGTTTCGCTTCGTTTAGAGGCTTCCTCAGTTGCTGTTGTGTTATATCCATCGGTTTCCTTTTTAAATGTTCCATAGTTTGCTGTCTTTTTTGCCGGCATCGGCTCGTGTTGATACTTCCGCTACCGGGTTATGCGTTCCATGTGTGGAACGTATGCGTCATATTCTTCGTATTGGAACGCATCCCTGCGTTCCACTGTGATCGCAAGTTATCAATACGCTCTTTTACAGTCGTTTTCAGAGCGTATGATGCTTGGAAAGTGCTTCAATAAATCCATTAAAAGCAATAAAAACAAAGAGGCTAAACTTATGTCACAATTGGAATCAAAATGTTTACAATCAGAATGTAATATTATTGCAGTAGGTAATAAATGAAAATGAAAACAAATGTTTGATGAAAAGAATACAAAGGGAATGGTGTCCCAAATCTAATTAAAGGGGTAATACCTTAAAAAATTAAGTAAGTAATTATGATAAAACTAAAAATTACTTGGTGTTAAGATCAGATCTGTGGCACGGCAATGGGCACCAAGTTCGCCCCCTGATACGCTAACCTGTTTATTGCATTCTGGGAAGAGTTATTTGTATTGCAGGGCCACAGGTGGGTGGCGAACTTGGTGTCCTATTGTCGGTTCATAGACAACATTTTTTCATATGGACCGGTACCACAGAGGCCCTTCAGGCTTTTATTATATATTTGAACACTAATGATTATGGGATCAACTTAACAAGCCATTACAGCAAATTGGAAATTGATTTTTTAGACTTGCATATAAGTATTCATGAGTCAACAATAGTAACCAATAACCATTTTAAATCGGTCGATGCAAACAGTTATATCGAAAAAACAAGCTGCCACCATAAACCATGGCTTAAGCATGCTCCCAAAAGCCAATTTTTAAGAATTCGGCGTAATTGTAAACTAGACTCAGATTACGCAGAACAGGCAGACTACATCATGAAACAATTTATAGAAAAAGGTTATGATGAAAGAATTTTAGAAAAGGAAGTTAAGGAAGTAGGAAAATTAGAAAGAAAAAATCTTATTCAATATAAGCCAAAGAAAAATCTAACCTACACAGATGAAATTCCTTTCATCTGTAACTTTAACGGACAAAATTGACAGATACTAAAAACTTTTTTAAATAAAGTTTTACCCGCAAAACCTAAGATCACATATAGAGGAGCAAAAAATGTTAAAAATATTTTAGTTAAAAGCCATTTAACCCCCAGTAAACCCAAGCACTTTATACTAGACTTAAAAGGATTTTACGGATGCGGCATGTGTCTTCCTTGCAAAGTGACAAAAAGTAATGAGACATTTAGAACATAGAAGACATAATTAAAAAACATATATTATTAAAGACCATCTAACTTGCCATTCAAAGGGTATTATATACATCTTGAAATGCCCATGTAATCTACTCTATATAGATGCCTCCCCCAGTGCCTTAGCCAAAGTACCTCCCAAGTTGTGGTCAACAGGCCCAGAGAACATTGGACGCCACCATGTCCCTCCGGTCCTAGTGAAGCTTATCCCAGCGGCCAGTCTGCCCCGTAAACCACAATACCCACTGAAGCCTGCCAATGTTGTGTCCAATGTTGCCCTGGTCCCCTGTGTGTCTCCCTGTAACACTTCCCTGTTCCCCGTAAAAAAGAAAACTGCAAAGGGGAGCCCGGGAAATACAGGATGGTTCAGGACCTCAGTGCTGTTAACGAAGCTACCATTCTAGGCACTCCCATTGTGCCTAACCCTCTCACACTCCTGTCAGGGGTCCCACCTACCTCAAGGTACTTCACAGTGGTGGATCTAGCTAATGCATTCTTCAGTGTATCCCTGGATCCCTCATGCCAATATCTCTTTGCCTTCACCCATGAACGCCAGCAGTATACCTGGACTGTCATGCCTCAAGGTGCACAAAATTCTCCCAGCCAGTTTGCAAGAGCTATGGTTTGATTCTGGACTCATGGCAAAAGGCTCACACCAATGTGGTCCTGCTTCAATACGTAGATGACCTCCTTCTATGTGCTCCCCACTGCTTAGCGTACGTCTAAAGACCTCCTATGCTTTCTCGCAGATCAAGGATGTAAAGCCTCCAAGCAAAAACTACAGTGGTGCCTTCCCTCTGTGGTTTTCCTAGGCCACTGCCTCTCACATGGTGCCCGCCACCTTACCCGTGACCGGGTAAAAGCAATCAAGGTTATTGCTCCCCCTACAGGCCAAAAACCCCTCCATGCTTTCCTGGGCCTGATCTCCTACTGCAAGGCCTGGATCCCGGAGGCCTCCCTCCTAATGCAACCCCTTTATGACTCCCTTAAGTCCGAACCCTTTTCCCTACCCCCTGAGGCACTATCCAGCTTCTATGCCCTACAACGTGTCATCTCCTCTTCCCCTGGCCCTGGGCCTCCCAGACTACCAGAAACCCTTCAAGTTGTTCGTGTCAGAGAGACAGGGACACGCCACAGGGGTCCTCACTCAGTCCCACGGTTCACGCCAGCGCCCCATTGGCTTTTACTCTTGCCAACTAGATCCTGTGGCGAAAGGTGGCCCCTCCTGCCTTAGAGCAGTATTTGCAGCACACACCCTCATTGATAAAACCAATTCACTTGTCATCCTTGCTCCCCATGACGTTGCTGCCATCCTTAACCAAGTCCAACCCAAACATCTCTCTGCTGCACGCCACCTCCGCTTACAGTGCTCTCTACTGCTCCCTGACAACGTGTCCCTACAGAGGTGTTACTCCCTTAACCCGTCCACTCTTCTGCCACTTCCTAAGGGGGAATCTAGACACTATTGGTATAGCCTAGACCTAGACCCAGGTTCACACATTTTTCCAGATCTTCTGACCTGAGTCATGCCCCCTGTCACACATGTCGTTCAGACTTCCCCCCACTGCACCCTATGGTACAAACTCACCTCAGGACCCGACCCCCACTATGAGGAAGACTTGATGCAGTTGGTGGAAGTAACACTCACCGTAACAGAACTGTTCTGTGATTCAAAAGGCAATAATATGGCCTTAGTCCTCTTGCCCTCGGAAGCTACTCACCTATATCATCACTGAGACTCAGCTGTCCCACACATCTCCCTAACCAGGTCCCCTCAGACCTCGTGGAAAGAACTTGGCCCTATGGCCAAATTATGGAGCACCGAATGTCAGACCCAGCTCTCCGAAAAGGGTATCACCAGGCAAACCCTGAACTGGGGTGCAAACAGTTTTCCCCAAGTACACACAGAAGATGCATGTACCGAAGCCCCTCCTACAGACCAAGATCTGGACCCACCTCATGATTGCTTTGAGCAAATGAAGATAGAGACGACACACCTCCCAACCGTACATGATACTGCCTTACAGGAACCTGACCTTACCCTGTTTGTAGATGGCTCCAGATATGCCGATGAACAAGGCAGATACCATACTGGATTCGCAGTCACCACAGTGGATGCAGTACTCCAAGCATCCCCACTCCCCTCAACCATGTCTGCACAAGAAGCTGAGCTTCAGGCCCTCACCACAGCATGCAAAATCTCTGAAGAAAAATGCACCAATATCTACACGGATTCAAGATATGCACTAGGCATGGCCCATGACTTATGGGTAATCAGGAAAACAAGAGAATTCCTCACAGCAACAGGCACACCGGTCAAACACAGCACGGCTATCAAGGACCTGATGAATGCCCTACTCCTCCCTGAAGAAGTGGCCATACTGAAGGTAAAAGCCCACGGGAGACTGAATTCGGATGAAGCATGAGGCAACCATCTGGCTGATCAAGCCGCACGTGAACCACGGGAAGTGGACAGGAGAGTGTCCACAGGAGAAAACCCCATAGAATGCGCCTAAGTCAAGGTTATTATGCCACTACATATTGTATCTGACGCTTCCCAGGACACACTTGTTACGTCACCCTCACTCATAAGGAAGAAGAGGAACTCCCCTATAGGAAGTAACTTCAACCCCCCATGTATATATAGATGCCATTGGTGTGCCAAGGGGGGTGCCAGATGAATTCAAAGCAAGGGACCAAGTTGCAGCAGGTTTTGAATCCCTTTTCCCGATCATTACTAGCAATAAGAATGTAGATTGGATTAATTACATATATCATAAACAACCACGGTTTATAAAGTACACAAACCGAGAGATGCCCTCCAAGGAATAGCTGAACAGCTAGAGGCTGCATCCCAGATGACCTTCCAGAATAGAATGGCCTTAGATATGATCTTAGCAGAAAAAGGAGGAGTGTGTAAAATGCTTCCGGACACTATTACATGTTGTACCTTCATCCCAGATAACACAGGCCCAAATGGTAAAGTGACCCTGGCAATAGAGAAATTAGAGGATCTCTCGGAAGAATTGAAGAACTCTGCAATTACTGACCCTTGGGATAGATGGTTCGGATGGATGAGTGGCTGGCAGAAAATCCTGACCCAAATAGGTATAGCCGTCCTGGTAATTTTAATTATCCTTGCCATTATTGTATGTTGTGTTCCCCCTGTATCAAAAAGTGTTTTGAGAAAGCAGTAGATCAGGCTACACCTGCTTTCGTACATCAAGAAATAGATGAGGAGAGTTATGAGAAGCCCTATACTCCGTTGCAGTCCCTCCACTGCCATCTATAATACCATAGTGCTTTAGGGACAGCATATGACTTCCTATGTGCAAAGTCTGTAACAAGGGGGGTGATGGACAAGCCATCACTCATCTAACGTGCAGCAAGAAAAGAGTTCCGAGGCACATTGGGACAGATGAGCTAGGACCCCAATAGGGACAGATGTAAAATAGTCATTTTAAGGGGGGACTGTTATGGATAGAAATAAATGTATATAAAATGTCTATTTGTTATATGTACACGAATACTTATTCCTTCCTCAAAATGGCCGCTAGAGCACCCCCTCCCATCGACCAAAACACTTGTGTAACAAGATGGCGCCTCCATCCGGGACTACCCCCAAACTGACGACATCAACATCCAACAACAAGAAGTAAATTCAAAATAAGGACTTAACCAATCACAAGCTTACGACGAGAATTATGTAAATGCTTACGAATCATGTTTGCACACAATGCATTCTTTTGCCCATATAAGCGGCTGCCCCCGCCACATCAATAAAGAATTGGAAGTTTAATTTATCTGAGCCTGGTGTCAGTGTGATTCTTCAGCATGCACGCATCTCATTTTAGATCTGGACAGGGGCAGATACTCAGGTAGACACTTGATCTGATCCAAAACACACACATACATTATTACTGTGGAGCTCTGTGATACACACTGACATTATTACTGTGGAGCTCTGTGATACACACTGACATTACTACTGTTTTATTGCTGTGGAGCTCTGTGATACACACTGACATTATTACTGTGGAGCTCTGTGATACACACTGACATTATTACTGTTTTATTGCTGTGGAGCTCTGTGATACACACTGACATTATTGCTGTGGAGCTCTGTGATACACACTGACATTATTACTGTGGAGCTCTGTGATACACACTGACATTATTACTGTTTTGTTGCTGTGGAGCTCTGTGATACACACTGACATTATTACTGTTTTATTGCTGTGGAGCTATGTGATATACTGTGGCAAACCTAGCCACTTAAGACTATGCCTGTATTGTGTGAATATCATGGGTTTTTTTTGCTGTAAGAACCAAGTATAATGTGGTATGTGGCTTTCATGCAAACAATGTGGCTTTCATGCAAACAAGAGCGTTCGTATGCTTGTAATGCGGAAAACCCAGCATTTCCTATGCAGTTTCACGAACAGTGAGTTTAAACACTGTTCGTGAAACGAATGAACTACCGAATGGTCGACCACACACAGGAGGTCGTGTGGCGCCCATTAACCGATTGCAACATTGTTGCAATCAGTAGTTAAAGGCTTCCCTAGGTGGCCGTCGTTCGGCTACCGACCATGCGGCGGTCGGCCATCTTGGTTCCTTTGTTAGCTCAGCAGGGTTTTGCCGTCGAGTGCCTGGAACTAAAAACGGCTTCTCGACGGCGCGAACACCGCTGGACTTCCAGGCCGTTCGGGAGCCCCGGCCGTTCGGTAGTTTGTTCCCCTGATACTAATCGGTATTTTAAGCATAGGTTAGAAATAATGTGTATTTCGTGCGGCATTCGGTTAGTTAGACTGGGAGCTGAGCGGTATTCTCACGAACTCTTCGCTCAGCCCCCAGCTATCTACCGAACGTCCGTTCGTGTAATTAAAGTGAATATTATTATATTAAAGTTATACATTTTAATGTAAAATGTAAATTCTGCTGCACGGAGGGATAATCCCATTAACGGTATATTCCAGTGGGAGTATCCCTCTCATCCAGCAGTAGATGATGGGAGAAATGTATGTGTTGGTCAGTTCCCCATGTAGTCCCCTACTGTACCACCCCTGGAATGTCAGTAGGGAAACCCCTTGCACGGGGAATCCCATAAATACCGTGACCTGAAAATAAAACCTCAGTTGACTCCCAGCCTATGTGTCGACTAGTTTTTGAGAAGGAAGGATTATTACAACACTACCGGGATTATTGTATGCTGTGCTTATTCACCTGGATTATTTTATACTGTTCCTGTTACCCAGCGGAGATACTGTGGATTATACTACCTCTCCGCTACATACACAGACATTATTACTGTTTTATTGCTGTGGAGCTCTGTGATACACACAGACATTATTACTGTTTTATTGCTGTGGAGCTCTGTGATACACACAGACATTATTACTGTTTTATTGCTGTGGAGCTCTGTGATACACACAGACATTATACTGTTTTATTGCTGTGGAGCTCTGTGATACACACAGACATTATTACTGTTTTATTGCTGTGGAGCTCTGTGATTCACACTGACATTATTACTGTTTTATTGCTGTGGAGCTCTGTGATACACACAGACATTATTACTGTTTTATTGCTGTGGAGCTCTGTGATACACACTGACATTATTACTGTTTTATTGCTGTGGAGCTCTGTGATTCACACTGACATTATTACTGTTTTATTGCTGTGGAGCTCTGTGATACACACAGACATTATTACTGTTTTATTGCTGTGGAGCTCTGTGATACACACTGACATTATTACTGTTTTATTGCTGTGGAGCTCTGTGATACACAGACATTATTACTGTTTTATTGCTGTGGAGCTCTGTGATACACACAGACATGATTACTGTTTCATTGCTGTTGAGGTTGTTCATAAAAATCTGAATTGTTGCAGTGAAATGTGAAGGATACAATGTTATCAAACATCAAGTGTGGTTATGTGAGTGCCAGGCTGGCTGAGACTGGCTGCAGTGAGTGAGTGACAGGCTGGCTGAGACTGGCTGCAGTGAGTGAGTGACAGGCTGGCTGAGATTGGCTGCAGTGAGTGAGTGCCAGGCTGACTGAGACTGGCTGCAGTGAGTGAGTGCCAGGCTGACTGAGACTGGCTGCAGTGAGTGAGAGACAGGCTGGCTGAGATTGGCTGCAGTGAGTGAGTGCCAGGCTTGCTGAGACTGGCTGAGACTGGCTGCAGTGAGTGAGAGCCAGGCTGGCTGAGATTGGCTGCAGTGAGTGTGTGCCAGGCTGGCTGAGACTGGCTGCAGTGTGAGTGCCAGGCTGGCTGAGATTGGCTGTAGTGACTGAGTGCCAGACTGGCTGAGATTGGCTGCAGTGAGTGAGAGCCAGGCTGGCTGAGATTGGCTGCAGTGAGTGAGAGCCAGGCTGGCTGAGATTGGCTGCAGTGAGTGAGTGCCAGGCTGGCTGAGATTGGCTGCAGTGAGTGAGTGCCAGGCTTGCTGAGACTGGCTGAGACTGGCTGCAGTGAGTGAGAGCCAGGCTGGCTGAAATTGGCTGCAGTGAGTGAGTGCCAGGCTGGGACCTGGGTGGTGAGGCCAGGCTGGCTGAGTTGGCTGCGGTGGTCGGAGTGCCGGGCTTGCTGGGACTGGCTGAGGGATGGCTTTGTGAGTGGGCTGGTGCCAGAGTTGGCTGAGATTGGCTGCAGTGGTGGAGTGCAAGGCTTGTGAGACTGGCTGCAGTGAGATTAGGGAGCCAGGCTGGCAGCTGAGATTGGCTGCAGTGAGTGTGAGTGCCAGGCTGGCTGGGGCGGCTGCGGTGAGTGAGTGCCAGGCTGGCTGAGATTGGCTGGGGCCTTGCTGCAGTGAGTGAGAGCCAGGCTGGCTGAGATTGGCTGCAGGGCGTGAGTGCCAGGCTGGCTGAGACTGGCTGCAGTGAGTGAGTGACAGGCTGGCTGAGACTGGCTGCAGTGAGTGAGTGACAGGCTGGCTGAGATTGGCTGCAGTGAGTGAGTGCCAGGCTGACTGAGACTGGCTGCAGTGAGTGAGTGCCAGGCTGACTGAGACTGGCTGCAGTGAGTGAGAGACAGGCTGGCTGAGATTGGCTGCAGTGAGTGAGTGACAGGCTGGCTGAGATTGGCTGCAGTGAGTGAGTGACAGGCTGGCTGAGACTGGCTGCAGTGAGTGAGTGACAGGCTGGCTGAGACTGGCTGCAGTGAGTGAGTGACAGGCTGGCTGAGACTGGCTGCAGTGAGTGAGTGACAGGCTGGCTGAGATTGGCTGCAGTGAGTGAGTGCCAGGCTGACTGAGACTGGCTGCAGTGAGTGAGTGCCAGGCTGACTGAGACTGGCTGCAGTGAGTGAGAGACAGGCTGGCTGAGATTGGCTGAGACTGAAACTGCAGTGAGTGGGAACCAGGCTGGCTGAGATTGGCTGCAGTGAGTGTGAGTGCCAGGCTGGCTGAGATTGGCTGCAGTGAGTGAGTGCCAGGCTGACTGAGATTGGCTGCAGTGAGTGAGAGCCAGGCTGGCTGAGATTGGCTGCAGTGAGTGAGTGACAGGCTGGCTGAGATTGGCTGCAGTGAGTGTGAGTGTGGCAGCAGGAGGGGCCGGATCCAGGGAGCAGCTGGGCAGGGAGGATGAGGAGGGGAGGGGGAGGAGGAGGAGAAGGGGGAGGAGGGGGAGGAGAGACCGAGCTCAGAGTTTCCTCTTTCAGATCAAACAGAGAGAGAGAGCCACAAACAGCCCAGCTCAGACATGGGGCAGACACAGCCCCTACCAACTCCATGCCAGCCTGTGCCCAGGACAGAGCACCTCCAGGGGGCACTCAGCACCCACTGACCTGCACTCAGAGACAGAGCAGGCACTCAGCACCCACTGACCTGCACTCAGAGACAGAGCACCCCCAGGGGGCACTCAGCACCCACTGACCTGCACTCAGAGACAGCCACCCCCAGGGGGCACTCAGCACCCACTGACCTGCACTCAGAGACAGCCACCCCCAGGGGGCACCCACTGACCTGCACTCAGAGACTGCCACCCCCAGGGGGCACTCAGCACCCACTGACCTGCACTCAGAGACTGCCACCCCCAGGGGGCACCCACTGACCTGCACTCAGAGACAGCCACCCCCAGGGGGCACCCACTGACCTGCACTCAGAGACTGCCACCCCCAGGGGACACCAATCACCCACTGACCTGCCAGACAGAGGTCAGCAATCACAAAAGGGTTCCCAGGACAGAGCACCCCCAGTTGGCATCCAGCAACCACTGGCCTGCACTCAGAGGCAATCACCCCCAGGGTGCCCAGAACACAGCACCCCGAGGGGGCATCCAGCACTGGGAGCTTTCACGAGGATTGCGGGCAGGAGAGTGCCAGGAGTTCATTTCTGCGCGACAGTTGATTCTGTGTCAGTTGACCCAGTGTGTGCCAGTTGATCCCTCCGGTGTGTGCCAGTTGATCCTCGGTGTGCCTGCTTTACCAGTGTGTGCCAGTTTATTCTGTGTGCCAGTTGATTCCATGTGCCTCTTGTGCCAATTGATCCAGTGTGTGCCAGTTGATCCCTCCGGTGTGTGCCAGTTGATCCTCTGTGTGCCTGCTTTACCAGTGTGTGCCAGTTGATTCTGTGTGCCTCCTGTACCAGTGTGTGCCAGTTTATTCTGTGTGCCAGTTGATTCCGTGTGCCTCTTGTGCCAGTTGATCCAGTGTGCCAGTTGATCCCTCCGGTGTGTGCCAGTTTATTCTGTGTGCCAGTTGATTCTGTGTGCCAGTTGATTCTGTGTGCCTCTTGTGCCAGTTGATCCATTGTGTGCCAGTTGACCAAGTGTGTGTGCCAGTCACTGACAGAGCGCACAGGAAGTGGTTTGAATTCCTTGGTTGGGATCTGGCCCTTAATGTGGGCACCGTACCAGCTGTACCCTACCATGTGTCTTCATGGAATCTGAAGTTCTACACATCAAAGGGAACACAAACAAGTGATCCTGCTGACCCTGCTCCTGTTTTGGATTTGTTGAGACGTGTCTCCGATTAATGTGCTGAAGGATATAGCAGTAATGGGATCCTGGGTCCTGCACGTCTGAGGGTCCCTGCATTTCTATTTATACAGAACTTTTGGTTGTGTTTTACACTTTATTCGCTTGGCATTATTGGGCCTTCTCCTTGGTGTCTCTTGTTTATTACGAGCCTGTGCTGGGCAGCGCCCGGCTCTGAGTTATAACGCTGTCTTGGACAAAGAGACTTTATATTTTCGTTTGTATTTCCCCTCCTTCCAACTGGTCATGACATCTGGATGTGTCGGAGCGATGGCAGCTGCCGGTAACATGGCCTTGCCCTGGTATCATCGGGATCTGAGTCGGGCAGCGGCTGAAGAATTACTGGCAAAGGCTGGCAGAGATGGCAGCTTTTTGGTGCGAGATAGCGAGAGCGTCACAGGAGCCTACGCGCTCTGTGTCTTGTAAGTACATCCACTACTAACACACTATTAATGTACAATGCCGCTGCTCTGAGTTATAACCGTCAGCGGGGTTGGAAAATGATTGCACACTAAATGCCAACATAAATTGTAGTGTTACACAGTGGGCCACAGACGGTCTGTGTTTTGTAGCACAGAAAAGGGTTAAATATTAGAGCCGTGTCTGGATTAAGGGAAACTAGGTTTTAACCAAATTATATTTTGACATAACCAGTGATTTTGTAAACTGTGTCTGTGTCTACATGCGTGTTTGTGTGTCTGCATGCGTGTTTGTGTGTGTGCATGCGTGTTTGTGTGTCTGCGTGCATTTTAGTGTGTTATTGTGTCTGCGTGTTAGTGTGTGATATAAACGGGGCTGGAGGCAGTCTGTATTCCCAGCTCAGTTAACGGTTACAAACAAACCCTCCCTTAGGGTTCATGTGATTTTTGGAAACTTGCCCAAGAAAATAAATGTTTTGCAGAATTAGCAATGAGCTCTGCGATCTCCATATAAAGATGCTGATGTCATTTATACGATCCCAGACAGGGTCGTTCTTTAATGTGGGAAATGTTGGGGATTTAAAGTGAATTTCTAATTTAAGGCCAAAGTAGCTGAACTGGAAAGTTTCTGCAAGCCAGCTATGCTTTCACTTTGGCTATTTTGTTTGGTCTTGTATTTCAAATTTGAATCCTCACTTTATTGAAAAACCCTGAGAGTGTGTTTTGAAGATTGCAGTGAATCCCACTGGTGCTGGGTTTTGCAGGGAGTCCCATTAATGTTTGGCGTAGGTCGCAGCGAGTCCCGTTAATGTTTGGCGTAGGATGCAGCGAGTCCTGGAAATGGTTGGCGTAGGTCGCAGCGAGTCCTGGTAATGGTTGGTGTAGGTCGGAGCGAGTCCTGGTAATGGTTGGCATAGGTCACAGCGAGTCCTGTTAATATTTGGCGTAGATCGCAGCAAGTCCTGTTAATGTTTGGCGTAGGTCGCAGCGAGTCCTGTTAATGTTTGGCGTAGGTCGCAGCGAGTCCTGTTAATGTTTGGCGTAGGTCGCAGCGAGTCCTGTTAATGTTTGGCGTAGGTCGCAACGAGTCCTGTTAATGTTTGGCATAGGTCGCAACGAGTCCTGTTAATGTTTGGCATAGGTCGCAACGAGTCCTGTTAATGTTTGGCGTAGGTCGCAACGAGTCCTGTTAATGTTTGGCGTAGGTCGCAACGAGTCCTGTTAATATTTGGCATAGGTCGCAGCGAGTCCTGTTAATATTTGGCATAGGTCGCAGCGAGTCCTGTTAATGTTTGGCATAGGTCGCAGCGAGTCCTGTTAATGTTTGGCGTAGATCGCAGCGAGTCCTGTTAATGTTTGGCGTAGATCGCAGCGAGTCCTGTTAATGTTTGGCGTAGGGCGCGAGTCCTGTTAATGTTTGGCGTAGGTCGCAGCGAATCCTGTTAATGTTTGGCGTAAGTCGCAGCGAGTCCTGTTAATGTTTGGCGTAGGTCGCAGCGAATCCTGTTTGGCGTAAGTCGCAGCGAGTCCTGTTAATGGTTGGCGTAAGTTGCAGCGAGTCCTGTTTGGTGATTTGACTGGGTCATTTTGACTGGGTACGAATTATAGTCAGTCCCGTTAGGGCTGATCGATGTATCTCTATGGGTGGAGACACTGAATGTCAGTCACACTGTGCAGCACTGCCCCAGGAAGCACCTCTAGCAGCCATCTGAGGAGTGGCCAGCGGAGTTATCACTAGGCTGTAATGTAAACACTGCATTTTCTCTGAAAAGACCGTGTTTACTGCAAAAAGCCTGAAGAGACTGACTATACTCACCAGAACATGTTCAATAAGCTGTATACTATATGTTAAAGAAACACTATAGTCACCAAAACAACTTTAGCTGAATGAAGTGGTTTTGGTGTATAGATCATGTCCCTGCAGCCTCACTGTTCAATCCTCTGCCATTTAGGAGTTGAATCACTTTGTTTATGAACCCTAGTCACACCTCCCTGCATGTGACTTGCACAGCCTTCCTAAAAACTTCCGGTAAAGTGTCATCTAATCTTTAACCTTCCTTTATTGTAAGTTCTGTTTAATTTAGATTTTCTCATCTCCTGCTATGTTAATAGCTTGCTAGACCCTGCAAGAGTCTCGTGTATGTTATTAAAGTTCAATTTACAGAGAAAGAGATTCACAATTACATCTCGTTGAAAGTGAAACCAGTTTTTCTTTCATGCAGTCTGTGTCAATCAGAGCCATGGGAGATGTGGCTAGGGCTGTATAAACAGAAACAAAGTGATTTAACTCCTAAATGACAGTGAATTGAGCAGTGAAATTGCAGGGGCATGTTCTATACACTAAAACTGCTTCGTTAAGCTAAAGTTGTTCTGTTGACTATAGTGTCCCTTTAATTTAAGCAGTATTTGCTCTGGTGACTGTGGTGTCCCTTTAATAAGGCTGTTTGTTTACTCAATGAGTACATTTCTGCTCTGAAGATGTGTAATGGCAGAGCAGAAATGTACACATGTGCCCAACAGATATTTCTGGTTGTTGTGACAGTCCTGCTTTGTGTTTTATCTACATGAGAGACTGAGGTCACGTTAATCACATGTAATAGTCTGCGTGATATGTTTAGATACCTGCAGGACATTGTGGGAAATGGTTTATTACCAGACTGGGGGTGAAAATCTCCAACGCACCCAGTCTCCGGCCCATATTCGCAATTCTGATTTTCTGACCTTTTTTGCAAATGTCATTTTTAAATTTATTTATTTACATTTGCATTAAACCAGGAATTTAGGGGAACAGCAAATTATACTAGTATTTTGTCCGTGGCCTTGTCGGTGGTTATTTTCCAGTTATAGTAATTAATGTAAGGGTATCGATTGCGGGTTTGCTGTATCCCCCCCACTCACAGCCCCTGGCGCAGTCTGCATAGCTTCGTGTGATTACTTACTGCATTCACAGTGTCATTATGGTGAGGACACAGTGGGAATAGTGAGCATTTTTACCAAATCTTTACCATCAGCATCTATTTGTTCAGCAGCTTAGTATCCCACTCCTAACCTGTGTGTCCATTTGTCTGGTTACAATTACGTGTCTGTTAGTCCACCCATTGTACAGCGCTATGGAATTTGCTGGCGCTATGTAAATAATAAAATAGTACGGTAATAATAATTAATAAGACAGACAGGTTGGTGCCAAAAGTAATTCTAAGAAAGTTGAAAATCATATTGACTGTAGTGCCTGTATAAGCATGATATTAGTTAGAATGATGGCTTGAAAGATCGCAGGGGAGAACTAATAGGCATCTAGGGCTTTTTATACATTTGGGACCAACGGTTGGCCCATTACACTAGAACGTCATTCTATGCAGTTGGCTGAATGTCTTGGGAGTTTCCGTAGCATCATTGTGTTTTTTTTTTTAATCCTTTCACTGGTCTGTTTTGGAGGTAATGCCCCCAACATGTCAGAGGTCTCCCACATAATGACAGATATTGGCTCCCCGTAATGTCCCGTCATTGTAGCTGTGGGATGCCATGATAATGGCACAGGTTGTCTGATTTATACTAATATCTAATTATTAAAATGATAACATGTGGGCAAACACCTAAAACCACCACCGGTGCGGATTACGTCTGTTTTATTGTTAAACCGCAAATTGCATTTAATTGTAATTGGAATTAGAAAATGTAGGGAAAAAAATTGCTGATATTGAAAATAAATTCTCGCTCCGTTACGGCTTGGCTGGTTTAACATAAAGTTTGAAATCTGCGTGTTTAGTGTTTATATGTTTCTGTGTCACTGGAAATAATCTGTTTTTACAATAATTACTCTATTAATCGGGAAGAAATCTGCCATTTTTTCTGCAGTGCAATAGATTTGTCAAATTTTCCACTATTTCTCCCAACAGAAATGCTTATTTTGTTTGTTTTTTTTTCTGAAAAGTTAAAGTCTGCAGAGACCAGCACTTTTTAGATCACTTTTAGAACACTTTGCTAAGTATCTACCATTGTATGTGATGTTATTAATGTAAAGCGCTGAGTATATATCTCTGTCCTCCGTGAGGATTATTGCGCCAGAATCCTCGCTCCACCAATAGGGTAAAACTCATGGCTGACAAAGTGTTACATTATATTAAAATATTATTTGTACAGCGTTCTGGTGTTAATGTTACCAATTTATTGCAGAGTTAATTGGGTTTCATTGTGGGTGATACAAAGATAAGATGAAGGGTTAATGGTCTTTCAATGTTTAAGCACCCAATGACTTACTTTATTTATTTATTCACAAAGCCAGAGTTTGTGGAAATAACCAGACCAAACTAGCCAAACTGGAAACATTCTCCACTCAGCTGTGTCTGGCTCTGCTAGTTTGGTCTGAATTAGTCATGTTTCTGTTTTATATTTACAGACTCTGTGGAAATGTTTACTCGAGTGAAACGTGTAACAGCAGTAACAAACACAAAATCTCAAAAACACACACGTGTTTCCACTGCATAGGAAACGCCATGTTATATCATTTTTCCCACGATGCAACATGTTTGTAGACATATTAGGATCAATCTAGTGATTTGCATAGAATGCCCTGTACATTTTGACGCAAAGCTACATTTTTTTTTTCCTTTTAACAAGCTATGTTCTCTAAATCTCATCTAAAACAATAGCTAACTTTTTACAGGTCATTAAAGGGACACTATTGTCAGCAGAACAACTGCAGCTTATTGTATTTGTTCTTGTGAGTATAATCAGTCCCTTCAGGCTATTTGCAGTAAGCACTGTTTGTTTTAAAGAAAATGCAGTGTTTACATTACAGCTTAGGGATAACTCCACTGGCCACTCCTCAGATGGCTGCTAGAGGTGCTTCCTGGGGCTGTGCTGCGCAGTGTGACTGACATTCAGTATCTCCACCCTCTGCATGCAGACACTGAACTTTCCTCATAGAGATGCATTGATTCAATGTATCTCTATGAGGAGATGCTGATTGGCCAGGGCTGTGTTTGACTGCCTCTTTGTCAGTCTCAGCCAATGCTATGGGAAAGCATTGTGATTAGTTGAGAGAAACATTTCTGTTGATGTCAGCCAAGCAGGCAATCAGCGGTGGAGCC